TTTCTGTCTCTCCCAATCCTAAAGCAGGTTGAACAGATTTTTCCCCAGAGGCACTTGCTGTGGCTCTTAAATGTGCTGTCATTTGCTAACATTAAATACCAACAGCTGCTGGAAACTTTTAGCAGGAATATTTTTTCTTCCACCTCGTGTTTGAAAATACTGTGCTCCTTATTAAAAAATTAACAGGAAGGCAGCTGTTGTTTTATTGGTATTTGAGATGACAGTATTCCAGACACTGCTTTCTCTGATGGCCTGTCTGAACCTTGTGAAATAATTCAGCAGCTGTCTTGAAAGCTACCACTGGAATGAAGGTCAGTTAGGGTTTGTAATAATTCCCTGCTATCTCCCTTCCTTCAGAGCAGAAAAAGTTTTAGGGAAAAATGTTTTCCTGGAAGATCATCTTAAGACATCTGAGCAATGAGCTTTCTTGGATGTACTTACTGAGTTTCAAAGCATTTTGTTAGGACATCTGTTGCCCAAAGAACCTATGAAAGCACACAAAAGTTTGTAAAATCTATTTTGTATTGGAAAGGCTAGGTTTTGAACTCAGTTCATAGAAAGAGCCAATGTATCCACAGAAAAGCATATGGTGTGGTACTTGAACCACTGCAATGATAAGCAGGATGGAATCTCGCATATTGCCAAGTCATGGACATATCCATCAAAAGTGAAAGGAAGAAGAGGCATCATGACTCTTGTTAACCAAAGCATAGCAGACGAAGTTTGATACAGACAAATTGAGTTCAGTGTTCTCCATTTGATTCTAAAGACTGTGAATAGTTCTCATATGATATTACCTGGTGCTTTTCTTGTAGACTCTGAACAGTTGCCAAGGATTGGCCATAATCCCTGGAGGAAGCCAGAGGGAGCTTCTCATGAACCCAAGCCAACTCCTCATCAACATCTCGGAAGAAGTGGTACTGAAGTCTGCTTGCCTCCAGATTCCCACGTCTCTCCTGCAGAGGATCACGTAATCTTTTGTATCTGTAGGTTTTAAAGATAATCCAGTGAGGACCGCAGATTGATTCAGAGTGGTGTGGAGAAGGAAAGAAAAAAGAATATTCAGGGAAGAAAAAGGTTGATAAAAGTAGGAAAAAGATGGCAGGAGACAGGCCAGGTACTTACACACCTCTGCACCAGTTGATCTACTCTCTCTTCTAGTTCATCAGCAAGAAAGTGTTTCTCCTTCTGGAATTGCTGAGCTGTGACCACAAGCTCTTGCACCCGGTCCCTATGGCCAGCAATATCTTCCTCCAATTCCTCTTGTTTCTTCAGATGACTGTTCAAAACCACCAGATCATTGCTACTGTATGGTGCTTTCAGCTCATTTTCCACACCTTCCAACCATTTCTCTGTGTCCTCTACACTTCGCTGAAAATGAAGACCCTGAGAACAAGCAAGAAGAAAAGAAAAACCTTTAGGACATATAATGTGATGTAAAAATCTTCATCACTTTTAGTAAGAATCACACACAAACATTGAGCGGCTTCCCAGTGCTCAGTGAACTCTTCCCAGATACGATGGTTGTTGAAATTCAGTCATGGTGAAGACAAGAACAGATGCAGAAAACATCAGGATCTCATCTCACTTGCTTTGCATAAATGCAGATCATGGACATAGTACCTTAAAAGGAAGTCATTTAAAGGGATAGCTCTGTTTTCTAAACAAAGATTGTCTGAGAGCCCATGCAGAACTCCCAGTCACGAGAATTCACGTGCCTGGAACTGGAAGAACGAAAAGCAGCTGTGGGCTTCTTCCTCAATGTACTGGAGAAAAGATGTCCTTGTGACAGATGAAGAGAGCTGACACAAATTAGTAAACATATTTTTCCTCAATATCCCTCTCTGGAATCTGGATCTAAACCACCAGCAGAAAGCAGCAGGGAGCCTAGCCTACAAATCCTTTTCCCTCCATAGGAATGTCCAGTTCTCCTGCCAATTCCATTCAGCCAGTCTACATTTTTAGTTTATTTTCACTAATGGTCTTGAGGAATCAAGTTTGATTGTATCAAGTGACGCACTTGTAGATGAGACATGTAGCAAGGCAGCTGTGCTATCTCTGGAAATGACATCAAGATCCAACCACTGGCATGTTGTATTACCTTGTAAGCATCCTGCAGTTTGATCCATTTCTCCTGGCAACTTGCTAGCAGTTCCTCCCATAGCTCATCCATTTCTTGTAGTCTGGACTGAATGGCTTCTGAGGCATGGTGCCCTTCATGGAGCATCTTCTCCCCTTCCTATAGCACAGGGAGCAGGCAAAGTTTTCTTCCTTTGTTGAATGCAGCAGAATATATCACTTTTGCTTCCATAAACAAAGCTTGCTGTCACAGCTATGTAAAGGGCCAACTGCAATTGTCACTTCCTGACCTAACACATAGAGGCTACAGAGACAGAGAAAAAACTAATAAAGGCAAAAGGGTTACTGAAACCTGGGCAGAGAATGCATAGCAAGGTAAGCAAGAGGTACAGCTAAAGAAAGTTGCTAAAGCAGGTCAGTAGATGTTCTAAAGAGCAACTACTAAGGCTATTTCCAATGAAAAAGGCAGGGCATAAAGAAATAATGTGAAAGAGATTGTACAAACAAGAAAGGGAAGGGAAGGTTTGGGAAGGGAAGGTTTGGGAAAGGAAAGGAAAGGAAAGGAAAGGAAAGGAAAGGAAAGGAAAGG